GACGATGATCGATTTGTTCGGAATTCATTGGAATAGTAACAAGATTGGCCCTGTTTCCTGTTCTCTGTCTTTTTACTGCATTAATCTTTTTACCCCTGCTTTCCACTCCTCATTATTAAAGATACATTATGTAAGATTTAGATAAAGAACTAGCCATTCTTGCTATAATAGTTCGAAAGTAGATGATGTAAAATGAATAATTTGAAAATTTCATTCAAATTACTCTATTGCAAGCGAAGATATTAGCCTTTGAATGTTTGACAGACGTGTGCAATAATTTTAACCACCGTACTGGTTGATCGCAGCTAAGTGTCGGTCCTCCATATTTGATTAAATCAAAGTATCGCTGAACCATTCTAATCTATTTAATATCGGAGAAATCTGATGCGATCGAGAGTTGATTAAGGCCTGGATCAGTTAATTAATTTCTAATTAATACTTTAGAAAACATTTCAAGCCTAAAGAAAGACCTGCAATAGGCAGATTTAGCTCTTGCATAATGCATGTTTAATAAAACAATGAGATTGGGCTTGAAGGTCATTGCTGTAAGCATTCAGTTGAAAGTAACGGCTATACCACGCCTGCGCATTACATATTTGTATGTCGAAATCCACATTAATTCACAATAAAATCTATTTATCGATTACAAAGGGAGATAACTGGGTAAACATTATGTTGTAGTATTGCGTAGCTGTGTGTGGTGATATTGAGGTGGTATTGGGTAGTGTTGGGTAAATCATCACGAAAATAAAGGGGCATTTAAGCAGGCGGTTTCAAACCACAATTAAAAATCATGTGCACCTCGTTATTTTTTCATATTTAATTCCTGTACGGTATTCAAATTTATGTCAGTAATATTCCTACAAAATTACATTATTCCAATTGAAATATTTGTCAACATTTCTTAGCGTGTTTATTTATTTATTTAAAAACATAAACCCCATTCAAAATATGATCATAAATCCGAGAATATGCCATCAAAATAGATTCTTTCCTCCGACATCAGATGATTCGGCATGTTTACATCTCTTAATTTCACATGTCTTGCGAGATTTCTACTTTCATTTCAGTTATTGTACTATAACCGCCACTTGCGATCAGAAACAGAGCTTGCATTGTCTAGTATTTATCGGATATATGTGTGTGTGTGTAAAATAGCTTTATTTAACTTCGGCTTCCACCGAAGGAATATCACAGACAAGTTATCGGATAGAATGTATATTGATTTGGGGTGTTAAATGTTGTTGGCCGACATCAAGGAGATTAAAACGTCCGACAATGGAGAAATCATGGTTTAATCACATAGATTAAGTTGATAATCACTCTAATTAGATTGATATGTAGTCCGACAAAGGAGAAGCTATGACTTCTGTTCAGGATTGGATTGATGAATTGTCCGACAGAGGATTACACTGTAAAACTGGTATCGTTTATAATGGGGGTTATAGCGCTAAAAACTAGGTATATAGTTTAATTTCAAAACATCGTTTGATAATTGATAATAATCGTTTGAAAATTACAAAAATAGTTTAATTAGTACTATGGCTTAATTTAATGGTACAGCATTTAATTTTTCCGAGAGGGGTTTAGAAATGGCCGACCGTTCACTTATCACGAGTAGTTCAATTTCCCGAGATGCGTATAGAAATAAGACCTGCTTAATTTATCTACTTTGTTGAATTATTAGATGAATCGTTTATTTACCAGCGAGCCGTCTATCCGATCTGTTCATTTTGATTACGATTATTTGCATAGGAAGTGCGAATAATAATGGTGAATATTAAAAAAAGGCACCTTACCGTGGTTGCAGTATTATTATCCATTCAAAATAGTAATTCTGCCATTGACAAATATATCAAAAATCGGTAAATCACATTCCAGGTAATTATACATTTGGAAATCATTAAATCACATCCCAGATAATGCAGTACAAGTCCGGCGGAAGTACTAAATTTCCCCGAAGTCGGGCCTAGGCGGAAATGAAAAATCACGGGCGCCAATTAATCAATCCTCTCTGGCCACGCTCAAATTCCACTAAAAATTTCCTCAGCAAATATGAGTAAACCGCCGACCTCTGCGATTATTTTAAAACCGCTGCGGAAATTAGCTTGACAGATCCACCGTGAATTTTAAGAAGTCGGACTTTCCTCGCATGTACAGTCAGCACATCCATATATCGTAGTCAAATATCAGCTAACACGGCATGCAAAAAAGATTGTTAATTTAACACGGTTAGACACGCAGATTTTACTGACTTATATTGAAAAATATCAATTATCAAACATTGGCAGGCTTTTAAATAATAAAATAAACAAAACACCTGAAGTAATATATCTTGGGATTTAAATCACAAATGAATTAAATGCTCACCTCCTGTTTTTAAGCACACATTGCCAGAAGTCACCGTCAACCTTGCTGAACGCATGTACATTAACACGTATCAGTCGGATAATACCTGATGACCTTTTCAATTCAGCACCAAAGAGTCTGAGTCAATGCATACTGTCAATCAAGTTCCCACATTACGTGAATTCACACGTGCCATCAAAAGGAATTGATAATTGACTATAATAGACGCCCCTTCAACAACAAATTGTTACCATGTCATAGTCTTGTAGACAATACTTTTATTCTGAATTGTCAGTAAGTAGTCAGTTGACCTCATTATTAAAGAACAATTACAATTGGGACGCGACCAATCTGGATTTTCACACAAAATAGCATAGGTGCCGTTGTCATGGCTAAATTACGAAAAAGCTACGATGAATAGCACCCCCCCCCCCCCCCCCACACACACACACACACACACACCTCCTACAATTTACATCACGTATTACCAGTATGTTACAGAGGATTCTATTAATTTTATTTACGATAAAACTCTATAGTCTATTATGAGGGTTGGGTTAGGGTTCATCAGTCCACCGATATATATTATTAGGGTTAGGGTTAGGTTTATAGATACCCACATATATGTGATATATAGTATCAGCTGTTTGTGTTTTTCATTTTATGTGAGACTGATAGTTGTCTTTTGTTTTATTTAATTGAACAGCAATTGTTGAGACTGCGATTAACACTTGCTAGTTCTCTTATTTTGTTTCATCGGCGAGCATTGTTATATCCGGTATACCCGGCTGGAACATTTGAAAATTTGTGTATATTTGGTAATACTTCGTTGTTTTTCTTTTATCAAATAGTAAACGAGCTTGATTGACCGATGACTGCTAATGTTATTTCGTAAAACGGAATAATTGCAATCAACACACGGCCGCCATTCTCAATGATTGACACCTTGCGGTTTTCCTGATTCACAAAAGAACCGTAAGGTTTATTTGCACATATTACAATAAGATATGGATTATCGGTTAATCAGCTTTGATCATTGCTATTTCTAATATTTTCCACAAAAAAAAACTTGCTTTGTACGCACTAATTTATCGATAGGTACTGCCATCTACGAGAAGCTTGTCGAGGTATGCATCAACGTGCAGCTTACAGGTTATCGTTAACAATTTCTAGAGTCTTGTAAAAAGAGAGCATGTCGTGTAAATATTTTCTTTTGATTTTGTGTGGGTCATTTTCAAATAAATTCATAGGCATGTTATTCTTTTTTAACAAATATATTACTATGCGAGAAACGATGATTATCAAAGAACCGTAAGTGCAACTAATGGTTTATCGTTTGGTGGAGCCTTTTAATAATCACGTGTTTCAAGTTAATAAATATTTTCCTTCGTCTCACGAGATTATCGTTGTGCATTTGTACATCGCAAGGTTGACTTCTGTAAACGTGTACAGGTGGAAAACTTAATTCATTTGTGATTTAAAGAAGATACATTACCTGGGATGAGATTTACTGATTTCCAAATGTGTATAATTACCTGGGACGTGATTTACCGGTTTTTTGATACCAGTTTTACGGTGTTAAGTCAGCCAATCAAAGCAGATTAAGTGGTTAATGAAGATAGGTGTATAGACGGTATAACACGATAAATACATTGATCACTTTATTAACTAATCAATCCAGCCTATTATCAACAATAATCTGGTTAAGTTGTAGTTATACACTCAGTACACTATATTAATTTTGTTGAATTTTGAATATTATTGATAATGTCTTGATGTCGGATTGGGCATATTCCTGGTTGGACAATTTAGGACATTTGGAAAATAGCATCTGACATGTCCGGAATATACGGGCGAAATACCATCACTGCTGTAAACTATTCTGGCTGCTGCATGCCAGTTATCATAACAACTGTCTTCAGTTCAATGATTCATCCTATCAGATCCCGAAAATCGAAGGTCAGGACTATTCTCAGCCAATGAAATATGGAGTATCAGATTATTGTTATTATGGTGCATCTAAATAGATGAGCAAAATCTAAATAGATAGGCAAAATACCATCAAGAGTCAGTTTTATTTTATTCTCTCCTCCGAAATGGAAAAAAAATTCCCAGAGAAACAAAGAAATAAATTGGTGTGGCCTTAATGAGAAGAACTAGCCTAATGATTTGTATAATAGTAGAACTAGAAGCCAGTAAAATCTTAATGATTACTTAATTGGTTGTTTCTCCTGATCAAGTTTTAGTGTCTTGCAATTGCTCTCATTACCTTAAAAAGAATAAATATTCAACAAACCCTTTGAACTGCTTGGACGGTATTGCTGTTGTGGGTGTATGTTTCATTATCTGGCCACTTACCTTTAGCAGTAGTAAAGAAACTATTGCATGAGAACTGTTAAAATAGCTGTTCACAAAATCTGTTGGTGGACATAGCTTTCTTTGGAACAATTTTTACGTCTCTATTTTTTATTATATAAATTTCTGTATTTTTCTCCAGAACATTTAGTGTAAATTTATTTAGAAATTTATGATGTGAATAATTATTTTGTAGAAGATATTCGTATTTTAGGTAGCTGTAACATTTGAACTGATTATGACAGACATAACATTTTTTTAACTGACATAATAATTACATACTGTAAATTATAAAGGTGGTTTTACTGATCAGCATCCAGTAATTCAGATATTTTGGAAAGTGGTTTATGGTTTCACAGATAAACAGAAGAATCAGTTATTAAAGTTTGTTACAAGTTGTTCACAACAGCCATTATTAGGTTTTAAGGTAAATATTTTATGTAAATAAAGTCATTTTTAGCTGTTATTCCCTGTTTCAAGTCATTTTGTTATCCTTAAATAAAAAAACTGTGCTATCAATCTATATATATAATATTTGTGTCAGTTGTCTGTTTGGAGTTGACGGCAACACTAAGCATGCCCAGAGGATGAATTTGGGGTATAAGAGCAGCTGAAGTCAGGGAGTGGCATAGCCCAGGTGGCATCGATCTACCACTCCAGTTTCAGACTATTCAGAGTTGCATGACTTTCCGTTAAGTGCTCTACCCGTGCAAAGCCAGGTAAACCACTAGTTACATATATAATTATGAATTAAAGGAACATCAATACCTATAGTACGTGTCACAGCTCCATTGCTCGATTTGGAAAAAAGTTTCAACCTTTCTTCAACTGAACGTCAGACAGTGACTATTTAATCTTTTGTAATAATTTAAAAATATACTGGAAGCAGATATCCTTTTCTTTTGTTTGATATAATTTTTATGGGCAGTAGCTATTTACCACATGTGGTAAGCAAGAATTTCAAAATACCCTTACAACTACAGACCACAATTATTATCCGATTTGAATGAAGTTTACAGATTATGATAACATTGATGATATCTCAGAGTAGCCAAACTTTTGTCCACTTTCAGTTTGTGGTTACCGAGATATTGGGTTACCACACATTTCGTTTGGCACGGCAACAATCCGCAATAATCAACCGATTTCAGTTAAACTCACACATTATGATAACATTAATAATATCTCAGAGCAGGTAAAATTTCGGTCACTTCTGGTTAGTGGTTTCAGGGATATCAGGTTACCACATATTTCATGTGGCATGGCTGCAGACCATAATAATCAACCAATTTCAATGACACTTACAGATCATGATAACATTAATAATATCTCTGAGCAGCCCAATTTTGACCACTTCTATTTAGTGGTTTCCGAGCTATCAGGTTACCACACATTTCATGTGGCACCACTGCAGACCACAATTATCAACTGATATCCATGAAACTTACAGAATAATTATGATAACATTAATAATATCTCCGTGTTGTGAGTAAGAGAAGCTGTTGATCCTCACCACACTTGTTATTCGGAGTGGGCTGGCAAAGCAAATTGACAGGACAACGGTCAAACAAATCACGGGATAGCAATTGAAATGATCAGACTTTGTAATGTTAAGGAATATTATGTAAATAAACATATACACAAGAAACAGTTATACAGTTCAAACATAAGCAAGTTGACAGTTTCCTTTGTTGACAGGTCTAATTCAATAATTAGAGTTCACAGGTCACAGTATATATCTAAATATATCAATTTCGATCCCATTTTTGTCCTATTCCAGTGATATCGCCGTCATATTGCACTATTTCGAAAATATCAAAAATTATATTTCAATAGAACTCTTTAGTAACAGAAGTTGCCCCCATCCGTCCGTTGTCCACAATTTCTTGTGAAAACTCTACAGACTACATTTACAATTGGATTGTTTTGAAATTGATATATGCTGTTTACATTAGTGGGATGAAGATGCCTATGTAATTTCAATAATTTCCGTTAATTACCGCTAGAATTATGGCCCTTGTTTCACTTTGTTGCACCTTGTGAACACTCTAACATCAAAGGTTATCTGCTGATCGATATGAAACTTACAGAATAATTATGATAACATTAATAATATCTCAATGTTGTGAGTAAGAGAAGCTGTTGATCCTCTCCACACTTGTTATTCGGAGTGGGCTGGCAAAGCATATTGACAGGACAACGGTCAATCAAATCACGGGATAACAATTGAAATGATCAGACTTTGTAATGTTAAGGAATATTATGTAAATAAACATATACAAGGAATATTATGTAAATAAACATATACAAGAAACAGTTATACAGTACAAACATAAGCAAGTTGACAGTTTTCTTTGTTGACAGGTCTAATTCAAAAATGAGAGTTCACAGGTCACAGTATATATCTAAATATATCAATTTCAATCCCATTTTTGTCCTATTCCAGTGATATCGCCGTCGTATTGGACTATTTCGAAAATATCAAAAATTATATTTCAATAGGACTCTCAGTAGCAGAAGTTACCCCCGTCTGTCCGTTGTGCACAATTTCTTGTGAACACTCTACAGACTACATTTATAATTGGATTATTTTGAAATTGATATATGCTGTTTACATTAGTGGGATGAAGATTCCTATTTAATTTCAATAATTTCCTTTAATTACTGCTAGAATTATGGCCCTTGTTTCACTTTGTTGCACTTTGGGAACACTCTAACATCAAAGGTTATCTGCCGATCTATATGAAATGTATATGTGTCATTTAAATTAGTAAATTATTGAATTTCAGCTATTTCCATTAATTACATCTAGAGTAATGGCCCTTATTTCATTTTGTTGTACCTTGTGAATGCTCTCACTGAGAACTACTAAGTGGTTGATCTGTACGCAGCCCTTATATAAATCTCTGTTTGGCTTGTTATTTGTACGTCTATCGAAAGAGAATTAATTTCCCGACTATTACTCGGTATTGTCGCGTTAAAATTGTAAATAAGGTGTGTTAATTAACAAGGTTGAAAAACTGTCTGAGAGGTGAGTTCATTAACGATAGGGGTGAGAACTGTGCGACGGTGCTTTTTCTGTAGAGGTGTGTTTATTAACCGACCAGTAAAAAATGAATGTCATTGGTGTGTATTGTTTAATTGGCGTGTTTTCTCGCTCGTTGCGATAACTGCACCAAAAGGAGTATAATGAAGGACCAATAGGCTCTATCTGACACATACGTGTTAAATCAAAATTTTGGAAGTAAAACTGTTTTACCGTACGATTTCATTCGACCGTGTGTTTAACGCAGGTCTTTGTATAGTTAAAGACAGGTCTTTAGATAGGCGTGTGTGCTCGCTATGATCTACGTTTCTCTTACGTGTCTTTTGTATTGCGTACCATATATATAAAGTTGCATTTAATGAAATAAAAATATGGACCTTGATCTATCGCTTATATGTTAGACCACGCATTTCTCTAACAACATGTATGGTCTAGCGTTTAAAAAAATCAGGCCAAAATGTAACTGATAAATAAAATACACGTCAATGTTTCAAATATTTGGAGTTTTTTAGTTTTTAGTAGCGAAAATAAATTAACGATTAGTTTCTAAATTATTTATGGTGCCGAAAAACATCAACTACATGTATTTGCATATCAGTATTGAGGTCAACCGTGATAGATAGATTTTATTACATAAAAAACCCTTTCGGGAAGCATGTAAATTTACGTTACGGTCAGCATAATAAATACATTATAAAAGTGGATGAAAAATATATAAAAAGTGGATGAAAAATATATAAAAAGTGGTTGTAAATTACATAAAAAGTTAATGAAATGTACATTTATATACATTGAGGGAGTATGTAATGATTATCGCGTAATTCGACATAAAATTCGGTAAATAAGAGTGATTTGAATTGCTAAAAAAAAAGATGAAATGTGTATAATATAAATTATACTCTCTATACAAGACTACAAGATGACAATTGGTTATTGAAGGGTCATTCCATGTCAACTGGACCAAATTTCGGAAAGTGGGGAACATGACCCCTTCCAAAAAAATTATAAAAAATATATGTTATAGTATATAGTCTTAACCTAACAAATCCAAAAATTTTACCACTATAGATAAAAAAAACCTCACAGAGATATGACCATTTGAAATTAGGGTACTGAAACGGACTATAAATTGAAAAGTTTTTCTCAGATTTTCAATTGCTTTAAACTCACATTTGTAATTGGAGTACAACTCTCTAACTTTGTAATCTAAGACAACTTTTGGTGTAGATTACGAATTTAGCATCACACTTAATGTGCGATTCAAACTTTTTGGGCCACCAGGTGGCAAAATGAACTATTCACTTTTTTTTCACGATTTCCACAGCCTCTGGCAAAGTCACTGTTGTATACATAACCTCCAAAATTGGCATAGTTAATGTCAGTTGGTATTTTATCCATTTACAAAAGATCCTGAGTCGATTGAATGTATACTTTTCAAAATATTCAGCCTCATTCACACGGAAAATTTACAAAATTTACCCATTTTCTCCTTCAATTTTGGCCATGTGGGACAGAGGTTAAAATTTTAAAACTGGTTGAAAATGAAACTTCATTTACCCTATTATAACACACATTAAAGTCCATCTTGTGTATTTGGGGTTTTATATTTTTAATTCGCACTTGAAATCTGTGCGGTGATGGAGTTTTAATAGCTATTATCAAAATTGTTGACGTTTCACGTTGATTTTAAAATAACTTCTAAATTTACCCATTTTCTCCTTCAATTTTGGCTATGTGGGACAGAGGTTAAAATTTTAAAACTGGTTGAAAATGAAACTTCATTTACCCTATTATAACACACATTAATGTCCATCTTGTGTATTTTGGGGTCTTATATTTTTAATTCACACTTGAAATCTGTGCGGTGATGGAGTTTTAATAGCTATTATGAAAATTGTTGACGTTTCACGTTGATTTTAAAATAACTTTTAAATGACCTATACCCCTCAAACGTGTCTATTTATAGTACCTTATTGCCTTGATCATGAATATGTAATAATTTTGCATCTACTTCATACCATTCTAAATCGTTTCAATTTAATTTTGATTTCCAACACAGGGGAAAACTTGTTTTGTCTGCTTAGAAAGTTGAAGTACATGTACAGTAGTGTTGTTACATTATCACTGAACACTTGAAAACTACAGGCCGCAATTTTTAACGTATGGTCTTGAAACTGCATACTTATTGCTTATACCCTAAGGATGTTTCCTATTCTTTTTGGTGCTTGCCCAACCCGGGTCAGAGCCACACCCATTTTTTCTTTGTGTGTCTGTGTGTTTTTTTGCGGTACAGGTCGCAATTCTTAATGGACTGTCTTGAAAACTATTCATATATATTCCTCATACCCAAAGGATGACTGTTATGATTTTTGGTGTATGCC